AAAATTAGTTTAATCAGTTTTTTATCTTAATTTAATTTTTTCAATAATTTTTTTTTTAATTTTTCCGGTTGATTGATAATCTCAAAATTTCTAGGTTGCAATCACAATTTCATAAAATGTAGGCACCATAGTTTCTCCTCATCTATCACCTCTTTTTTTTTCTTCTCGAAAAAGCAAGAGAAATAAAATAATTTTCTTTGAAAATAAAAAAAAAAAGAGGACACTTTATCTTGTTTTGATAGAAGTTGTTTTCAGGAAAGGTTTAGAGGGCAAAGGAAAACAAGAGATTGGTCTTCAAAAAAGATAACATCACGTCCTTTTTTTTTTTTGATTAACGTGGGGTGTTCGGGCCAGTTTACGTGCACCACGACTAATTCCCACGGCCTACTGAACACTCTGCAAACCCAGCAGGCAGGTAAGGCAGCGCGGGGCTGACAGGCATGCAACTCCAAGGCTCGAACCCATGGCAGCGGAAAGCGCAAGACGCCTACCACCGCTAGGCCAATATCTTGGGTGCCATCACGTCCTTTTCTACTTAAAAGGGTGTACGCTAGGTCTAATTTGATGTTCCATTTGAGGCATAGTCAATATTCTCGATACTCCAAGATAAAAAGAAAAAAATTCCTGCAACTTTCTATCCTCAAGTTTTTTTTCTTTTTTTTTTTCCCATTTGATAGAGATAAACATGGCTCGGAATTGTCTTGAAAAAGAACATGGTTGGAACAATAAAAATTAATTATTTTTATTAAAATAATATTTTTTAAGAGATTTTATTAAATTAATTTTGGATCAGGCTATTAAAAATCCAATCAGATTTTATTAAATTAATTTTTTTTAATTTAACTTAAAAATCAATTTGAATGACGTGTTTCCCATTCATGTGGATAAGATAAGTTTCAATAAATATAAAAATAATGGATGATGATTGGTTTATTTATGATGATTTTTTCTTCACAGTTTTTTTTTTTGGGGTGTTGAACCGAAAATAATAGTGTAGACAATAAATCTACATTTGTTACTGAATTCAAGTACAAAACCCCGTAAAAGAAGAGCTCAATTTCAGTTCATGAAAATTGAGTTGACTAAGGTGAAAATTGAGTTGACTAAGGAGGAATGTAAAGAAAAGAAGTCAAGAAAATTAATTAGTTTTGGGAGTTCAAATCTTGAAGTATGAATTTCAAAGATGCCGGCCAATAAGACCATTTCAAGGTCCACCAATGGAAGCTAAGAAGTTATTAAACCTGGTTAATCTGTGTGAGTTTCATGATGTAAATTTAATTAGCAGGTTAATTTAATTTATATTAACCTGAATTAATACAAAAAATATATTTAAAATAATTTTATTTTATTTTTTTAAAAATTAGCAAGTTTTGATTACATCAACTCAAGTGTTTTTATTATATTAAATCAACTTATAAATTTGTTTTTAAACCTAACCCAAGCTAGGTATTGTATCCACTACATCGATCCTAGGTTTAATAAGAGTGCTTTATACTGTATTTATTTTGTCAAACTTAAATAAAAATAAGAATAAATACGCCAGGAAGTAGGGCACAAGTGCAATAAAACACAACTACCAGATTTCATACGTCAATAAATAAATTAATATTTTTTTTTCTTTTAAAAAGAAGACCTTTCTTCTTCCTTCTAAGCTCCCTGGACGAAGAAATTGAAAAATTCTAACAAGAACAACCTTCACGGCTGAATTTACGCGTGTCTATATCTCCGAGTCTTTATACGGCATAGCTACACGTATAGACCACTTTATTCTCTAACAACAACATGGGAACCCTCAAAATCACCAAAAAGCATCATAAACACCTAAACAACCCCTTCCCTTCAACACCAAGATCACTTCCTTTCATTCAAGGACGTCTTCTTTTCAATTCTCAAACTGTCCCGCCAAACAAAATCTTCTCAGTTGGCAAGGATTTCCAGCTTCTTTGGAGCATAAAAAATGGAGGGTCTCTCTCAATTTATCATCAGTCTCAACCTACAAAAGTCCTGTGGTCTACCATCCCAGGGCAAGCTTTTGTCACTGCAGCATTGTGTGAGACAGAGGTGAAAGAGAGCAGAGGATCTTTTGCTATAAAAGATAGGAATGTTTATTTGGTTTGTGATCATCAAACAATTGAAGATATAAGAGTGATCAGCGAACCTGATCACCATTTTGATCAGGATAATGATCATGATCTTTCATCTGGGAATATGAGTTTTGCTCAGAAAAATGATTTGAAGGATACCCAGTTTCCTGCTTTGCTGATAACAGGTTGGTTGTTCAACAGGAGGAAGAAGAGGCATCAAGAATCTGGCATTTACAAAGACATACAGTTTGAGACAAGTGGACCACCAACTTGTGCAAGGTATTGGGTTCTATTTGATCAAAAGAACAATAACCAAATTGGTTTTCAAGTGAGAGTTGGACCACCAAATTTTGAATTCCAACAAAGAATTTCTCCAATTCCTTTAGGAAGACACTGGCGATTAAGGTGGAAGCTAGGAAAGATTAGAAGACGAAAGCTTGGATGGTATCGGTTCTTTACAAGGTCTAGAGGGTTTGTTGCAGTTTCTTCCTCGTCAGATGAGGAAATGGAAATGAAGTCTGCGGAGTTGACAGGATTCAATAGAGTCTGTATTACCTATTCCAGTGAAGGAAATGAAAGGTTTTACGGTTTTGGGGAGCAGTTCTCTCACATGGAGTTCAAAGGCAAAAGGGTGCCCATTTTTGTTCAAGAGCAGGGAATTGGAAGAGGAGACCAGCCAATTACTTTTGCTGCTAACTTGGTTAGCTACAGGTAGATTAGCTATTAGCTTTTCAGCCACTAAATTCCAGTTAAACACAAATATGAAAAATATAGGCTCAAAAAATCTTACCTTTGTTTCTTTCTATTGCAGGGCTGGGGGCGATTGGAGTACAACTTATGCTCCTTCACCATTCTACATGACATCTAAGATGAGGTCTCTTTACCTCGAGGGATACGATTATTCAGTATTCGACATGACAAGACATGACAGAGTTCAAATACAGGTAATTCTTGATAATTGTTGCATATTAATTATTATCGGCCATACTGAGTGGTGAGAACATTATCTTGCAAATACTTTGTACTGCATAACACTCAGGAACTTAGAATAAAATTATTCATGAGGGTGTTACAAATGCATCGTAATGACCAGAGTGAAGGCTGAAGCAAGAAAGCCATTGACAGTGAGAAACAATTCTTTATGCCAATAAACAATGTGATTGCCAAGTGAAAACTATGTTTTCTGTGTAGAATGTTTAGATTTAATGCAATGAATTATTGGCAAACTTCAGAATACACAGTTAACAGAAAATTTTCATTGAATAGAAAGTTTCCTTTACAAACTTAAGTTACACTTGAATAAAACAATCAAAATTTAAATGGAGAGGAAAAAATTTCAAGTACTGAACATACTCATTCAGGGTTTAAACTTGCAGTTTCCTATTTTCTGTATATTGGAGCTTGCAGATCCAGAGCAATTCAGTTCGAGGAAGAATATTGAATGGCAACTCACCTTCTGAGATTATTGAAAACTTCACAGAAACTATAGGGAGACCTCCTGAGCTTCCTAAGTGGATTATATCTGGGGCTGTTGTTGGAATGCAAGGAGGTACAGAAGCTGTACGCCACGTTTGGGATGAATTGAAGGATCATAAGGTTCCTGTTTCGGCCTTTTGGTTGCAGGTATTCCCTGTACCTATACAGAAGCATATCAAAGCGCATCAAAATCTATGGAATCTTTCAAATTCACGAATACTTACAGCCATGCTAATTTTCTAGCCATTGATAATTAATAGCATTACGATTTTTATAATTAAAGAACAACTTTAAAAGGTTTACATTACATCAACTAGTTCAACCATCAAACTGATTCAGACAGTTCCAAAATAATAATTCTGCATCCCTTTATATGTCATTACTTAGATGGCATGTATGAATATCTTCATGTAGAAGTTCTCACCCTGAAGCACTTCATTTGCAGGATTGGGTAGGGCAGAGGGAGACAATGATTGGATCACAACTGTGGTGGAATTGGGAGGTAGATACAACGAGGTATCATGGATGGCAGCAGCTAATTAACGATCTTGGTGCAAAGAATATTAAAGTGATGACATACTGCAATCCTTGTCTAGCTCCGGTATTTTTCTTTTTCCAAGTACTTATGGTAATATCATTGTAATTTGTAAAAAATTCAATACATGATCATCTGGTGTGTGACAACATACAGCCATATCAATGTAAAGAGCAAGCTGTAATTTCTTAAAGTAGGGTGTCGTTGCATACTCTACATCTCTTTTTAACAGTAAATGTTTTGCTATCATTATCATTACCTGAGAGTTTGAGACTTGGTTGCTTTGCTTTAAACAGATTGATGAGAAACCAAACCAAAGGAGAAACCTTTTTGAGGAGGCAAAAAAGCTGGATATCCTGGTGAAAGACAAGTATGGAGAACCATACATGGTTCCAAATACAGCATTTGATGTGGGCATGTTGGACCTGACACACCCAGATACTGCTGCTTGGTTTAAGCAGGTTTTACAGGAAATGGTTGATGATGGTGTGAAAGGGTGGATGGCTGATTTCGGTGAAGGACTGCCTGTAGATGCAACTCTCTATTCAGGTAACAGAAGAAAAGTTCTGACATGTTTCTTCCAGAGGCTAGGATTCATGTGCACTAGAGATATACTTATCACTTTGGATTAATTATTTCAGGTGAAGATCCTATATCAGCTCATAATAGATACCCAGAGCTATGGGCCCAAATAAACCGAGAGTTTGTGGAAGAATGGAAGTCAGGTCGTGCAGGTAAGAAGAGAGAAGACCCAGAAGAGGCTTTGGTCTTCTTCGTGAGGGCTGGTTTCAGGGATAGCCCCAGATGGGGGATGCTATTTTGGGAAGGAGATCAAATGGTAAGTTGGCAGGCCAATGATGGAATAAAAAGTTCTGTCGTTGGCCTACTGAGCAGTGGAATTTCTGGATATGCTTTCAACCATAGCGATATCGGAGGCTATTGTGCAGTAAACTTACCTTTTATTAAGTACCACCGAAGTGAAGAGTTGCTTATGCGATGGATGGAGCTAAATACTTTCACCACTGTTTTCCGGACTCATGAAGTAAGTTTTGATACCTGAAATCCATAACACTCAATATCATAAAACCAAGTTGATGCAATATTACTTGTTTATTTCCCTCCAATTAAAATTTTTAACGAACATTTGACGACACATACTGTGTTAAGCTAACTTGATGTTAAATTGCTTACCTAGAGGAGCCATATTCAGAATAAATATTTGACTTGACCACAGTTTCCAAACCCTTGATATAAAGCACTGTCTCCAGAGAAATGAGTTAAATTTTACATTATTCACTTGACAAAGGAAGTTAATAATTTGTTCAACTAAGCAGCATGACTGATATGATCCCATCAGCTACTAATTTCAGATATCTTCTGCATGCAGGGAAACAAGCCATCCTGCAACAGCCAATTCTACTCTAACCACAAGACTCTATCGCATTTTGCACGCTGTGCTAAGATGTACAAAGCTTGGTATTTCTATAGAATCCAACTAGTAAAGGTGATGCATGATTCATGTAAATAACTGGAAGTCAAATAACTTAGGCAGAGCATCTAACAAATCTGTCTGTCTGTCTTTATAAAACAGGAAGCTGCTAGAAAAGGCCTACCAGTTTGCCGCCACCTATTTCTCCACTACCCAAATGATAGGAATGTGCATAGCTTGAGTTACCAGCAGTTCTTGATTGGTACCGAGATCTTAGTGGTGCCTGTACTTGACAAGGGCAAGAAGAATGTCAAGGCTTATTTTCCAGAGGGTGAAACTTGTTCCTGGCAGCATATCTGGTCAGGAAAACTATTTAAAGAACAAGGTTCGGAAGCCTGGGTAGAGGCTCCAGTTGGCTATCCTCCTGTGTTTATTAAGGCTGGCTCCAATGTGGGAGAAACATTTGTAGAAAATCTGAGAAATCTTGGCATTCTTTGAGCGCAAAGTCGTCAAAGAGATCCATGATCAATATAAGTTGCATTGAATTTTTTTACTAGCAAATAAATAGCCACAAATTCCTCTAAACTTTACTTTTGCATTTTGCAACTGTGTTTGGTGAACTCTTAATAAAGGCCTGCTCAATTTTCCCTGCATGCATCATGCTCTAAAACTCCTGGACTCCTGACTTAAAGCTTGAGCAATTGGTCTTGTGCCTTCTTTCATGGTCATCTGTTCAGCTTATTTCCCTGACCTCATCTTATCCAATACGTCCACTTTCGTGGTCCAAAGCTCTAACTAAACATGATTTTGATTCCATTGGTTTCTATAGACTAGTGACAAACCTACAGAAATGAGTTAACAGAAGCACATCTCAAACGAGAACGAGGTCTACCCATGTCATATGGACAACATCTCCAGTTTCTCAAATCTATTTGTCTTGAACTTTCACGATAAAAAAAAAAAAAAAAACACGCATTCTCTTGACTTACACTCGAGGAAATAAGCAACCAAAATTACACAATCAAATTCTAATGATACAACCTGCACATCCCTATCAAGCCCAGAGCACTAAGGCAATAAATACAGAACAAGCTTTAAAAGCTTTTAATGGTCCTAAGTCAACAAATGTTACCCCCTTTCACAAGAAAAGCCTTACTGGATTGATAGTTTATAAAACCCCTGACATGCTTCAAAGACATAAAAGACACAATCTTCAATCGAATTAAACAATATCAACTCAGAAAGTGCCAGCTTTCCTCAAAAGGGGAGTAAAAAAATCATGATCCCAACAGACAAGATCCTTTTTCAGACAATCAATCAAACAGCTGCTTGTAATTCATAAGTCAACCCTGTTTAAAGCAACCAGCCCATAGATTTTCGCCAACTTAACAGAATCACACAGTTTTTAACTACTTGCCATAAAAAAGATTAACCTTGATATGTTTTCACATAAACACAGCATGCATCCCCTTGATGAACATTGATTTCTCCTTGTTCTTTGTATTAAAAAGACTTGAAACCAAGACTCTAGCACATGCAATGGGAAGATAAAAATGAAAGGAGAGAGATACTAACAGACCTTGAAATGAGAGGTTTTAGACACTGACGTTAAGGATTCATTCTAAGCAAACAAAGACAGATGATCTTTGCATCCCTGGTCAACTTGGAAGCTGTAGAGAGAGCCTCAAAGAAAATGGTGATAATCAAGAGGTTTTTGTCTTGCTTTTTGGTTACCTGAGTTCTGAAGCTTGTCAAGTCCTTTTTTCGTCAATGGATTCGGACACTTCAATTGGATATTCCGTTCTGTCTTTCCCTCTCTGTACGTATCATTTAAGCATGTTGTGTCACAAAAAAAAAAAAAAAACTTTATTTTTGTACCTATAAAGTCATCCGTGGTTATTTATACTCCTATAGTTTAAATCTCTCATTGTTACGTTACCAAAAAGTTATGATTTTTCCTCCAATCTGATCTATTATTAAATCTTGGTGATTCTTTCAAAATCCAGCCAACTCTTAGTCCAGGTTGAATCTTAAAAAATATTTGTTGGTTAACCTGTGTTAATCCGTTTAATTTATGATATTATTTTTTATTAAGTTGATCTCTCATTCAGTTAATAACTATAATTTTAAGTATTTTAAATGATAGAATAAATAAGATTTAAAAGAAAAGAATATAGAAAAATAAGAAAAATAAAATAAAAAGAGGAAGAATGTCAGGTTTTTAGTTATTTAGTAATAAAGATAAAAATTGAAATTCCTTTTTTAAAAAAAATAGGGTAATATTGAAAGATTTTAATTTTTAAAAATAGGGTAATATTGAAAGATTTTAACCTATAGGGATAAAAGTGAAGTATTAGTGAATCTTTAAGAGCAAAAAAGTAGTTTAGCCGAAAACAGCCCAATGAGTTACATAATGGAACCGAATAGTTACACCTTTTATGGGCTTCTTCAGTTCAAAGAGACCAATAATGGAAAGAAAACAATCCACAACACAATAGGCCAAGAGCCCAGGACGATGGAACCTTCCCTTTGATTTTACTTACAATCCAGTCCCTGCCAAGCTTGGTGACAAATTAATTAATCCAAACAGAAGATTATTGCCAAGAACCAACAATCAATTTAAAATTTAGAAATCCCATTTCGATGGAAAGGTTTTTCCCAAATTAGAAAAATCCAATTTTAATTTTAATAAACCTTAATTTGAAACATGAGTGACAAAAAATAGTCAATTTTAAGACAAGTTAAGAATTTTAATAAACCTTAATTTGAAACCTTAAGTTGGCATAAATGTCATAATTGGACAAGTTGAGAATTTTAAGTCTTTTACATGAATATTTTAGAGATAAAAAATAGTCTTTTAAGACATCCTATCTACAACTGTAATTTAGAATTGCAAAAATTCACTCTAAAATCATCACTGAAACAAATTTTTTTATGAATAAATTCATGTCTCTTTAATCAAATACATTCCCATCCCCATTATCCCTATTTCTTCTGCCCCATAATAATAATAATAATAATCAAATGCTATCTCATGAAGCCTTTGAGAAACTAAAATCAACAGAAAATTAAACTAGAAGTACATCCATGGAGAGGAAAATGGATGCTATTATACATTCTAGATTAATAGAGTTCAAAGTTCGCACATCGTAACTGCAATGGCCGAACCACCTACTGAACTCTTCCACCTTTTTTCACACCCAAAAGCAATCTATGGATTAAAATGGAGATTTAAAAAAAGATGGGATGCCTAGGTCAATCATGTAGCCGCACCACCTCTGACTTATCCGTGTTGCAGTGTACAGCATAAAAACTTCGGTGTTGTCAGATGTCCAAATGATCAACGTTAATCATTCTTGCCGCTTTCTGAATAAGTTCCTTGCGGACATCCACCTGAAAGAAAACCATAAAAAAAAGAGGTTACATTGGAACATTATCACCATGGTTCAGTAATTCCAGCAGTTACACGATCTAATTTATGTGATGATTGACACTTCAATGGAAAGGTCTTTCAAGCATTTCTTGGTGCAAATTTTCCCAAGCAAGCAAGAACAAGCACACATGCATATTATATACACATTGTAAAGGGAAAGAGAACTAGTCCAAGATACAATTCCCCTGAAAAATGCTTTAGTGCATTATTATTAAGTTGTCTCCTTATCAATCTATTTTCCTATGTTCATTTGTATCCTCGGGAAGTTCCCTGGAAAATTTACACGATTCCTTTTATCACTGTTTAGATATGCTATTGGTTTTTTAATCTCTTCTGCATTTAAAACGCTGCCTTTTACTGTTTCTAAGACCTGAAAGGTCCCAAGTTCAAGTTTGATAAAAAGAAAAGGCAATTATAGTAGTTCCTTAATAGCTCCTTCCAGGAAGTTCAAAAGGAGCTAGCTGGCTCAAGTTTATTGTAATTTGCAACCTGGACATTCGTGTGCAAAATATAACTTACCCGGGCACCCATAAGAGATGAAAAGACAACATTGGCCTCTGCTGCATCTTCAACCACTAATTGTTTCAGCAGCCTTTGCTCTGGGTCCATTGTTGTTTCCCACAGTTGTGCAGGCATCATTTCCCCCAAGCCTGTATTTTACAAACACATGTTAGAACATCCAAATCTCAACTGTTAATTGAAGATTTATGCATATACTTTCTTTGAGGTTTTGAATATTTTAGGAGAGGGTGAAACGTATATATTCATCTGTATGCATGTGTTTGTGTGACCCAGGGGAAAGAATGTCATACTGCATCATCATATCGCACCAAATAGATTCAGTAACAGAATTCTTTATTACACTGTTGACTATATAGCACATAGATGGCTGAATTTCAACTAAGAAGTTAGATAAGAATGCACATGACCATTTGATGATCTATAACAGCCTGTTTTTTCCATTTAGAAACGAGAAACATTAATGCATTGCTAGTTGACAGAATGAATGGAATGCAGGGGAAAAGTCTCATAAATAGACAATTATGTTTGTGTTACAGTTAACAGATCTTACCTTTGAACCTTTGCATGTTGTATGATGCATTTTGAGGGAATGACCTTTGAATCTTTCTGAGTTCTGCATCATCAAAACAATAGTAAACCTGCTTTCCCCTCTCAACCTGGTCATGTCAGTTGGAAAATGAAAGAAACAAATTGGCCGATGGATAATAATTTAGAAATAAACTCTCACAGGGATCCATCATATAGACAAACCAACCTTATATAGGGGTGGCACACCAACATAAATGCAGCCTTCATCAAATAAAGCTCTCTGCGTAGAAGGTTTCCATAATTGTACATCACTCCAATTTTTTTAAGGCATTTAAAAGTTGTTTATTTCTCTCATTTATTTTAAGAGGAAATGTTTGTTGAGACAAATTTCTCCATTATCTACCTGATATCTAAAGAAGAAAGTCAGCAGAAGAGTTCGGATGTGAGCACCGTCCACATCAGCATCTGTTAAGATGATGATCCTATGATAACGCAGAGCATCTTTTTTAAAATCCTCTCCCTGTAACCAAGAAGATTTCACACATGAAGTAAGAAAAGCAGTTCGGATGATAAAACCAAGAATGACAAGTAAAAGAAAAGGCCAAAAAAATGAGAAAAGGACTTTACCTTCACTCCAAGTCCAAGGGCAAGTATAAGATTTTGGATCTCTTCATTTTTGTACATTGCCTCCTCATCTCTTCTTTCTATATTCAGAATTTTACCCCTCAAAGGGAGAATAGCCTGCAGTAACAAGTTTCAGTGATCAATATTCTACAGACATCCCAAGTTATTCTAGAGTGCAGGTAAGACATTACAATCAGAAACAGCAGCACCATTATCCCAAATGAGTTCTAACTTACTTGGGATAATAAAACTGTTCAAGACCATTGAGACATTGTAGTTGATACAAGCTCATTCCATGAAAACAGAATAAACCATCCCGATTGTTTACTGTTTATTAAACATGTTTCAGCAATTGCCTGCAGATTAAACGCCACCGCACATTCAGTGTAATTACCTGAAAGCGTCGATCACGGCCTTGTTTGGCACTCCCTCCAGCTGAATCTCCTTCAACTATAAAAATTTCTGCAAAAATCAAAGGACAATTAAATAACATGCTAGAAAGAAAAATGAGACCAACAGACTTTAATTCTTATTTTCTGAAAGTCCATCTAAACTCAAAACAGAACTAGGTTTATCATTTGCCTACATGGAAAATTAGTCATGCTAAGCATATAAACTAACAAAAACATCTACAGCTTGTTGAAGTGGGTGCTAAAGGATCATTTTGAAACTAGTAATGACACCAGTTGAATTTTAGCATTGTTAGAGCCATGTGACTTGCTCCTGAGCAGAAATGACATAACTGGAAGATCGTGATCCAACCAAAGACACTTGCAATAATGAACAAATTGTAGGGGTCAGAAATGATTATCGGATGAATGAATAAATAACTCACTCTGCCGCATGCGTAAATTCTCAAGGATCTTCTTAAACTCACATGTCAGGCAATTGATCAGTAATCCAACCATGCTTGTAGCTGATAAATGATGTCCACTTGATTGAACAAAGACAAGACAACTCAAATGGCATGAATAGCCGCATGTGTAAATTCTCAAGGATCTTTCTTAAACTCACATGTCAGGCAATTGATCAGGAATCCAACCATGCTTGTAACTGATAAATGATGTCCACTTGATTGAACAAAGGCAAGACAACTCAAATGGCATGAATAACATAAGATGTATGGTCATTATTATAGAATTTCTAAAATCCCATGAAGGTCAAACGAGTTTCATATTAAAAGCACAAAAGAAAAAAAAAATAGAACAGCTACCAGATTCTTCAGGATCTGTAGATGAGCAATCAGCCAGTTTTCCTGGAAGAGATGATGACTTCAAAACACTTTTTTGTCTCACCAATTCTCTTGCCCTCTTTGCTGCCAAAGCTGCCTTCAATGAAAAAAAAGACAGAAAATTTCAAGGTTTAAGACCAGCAGAAATGCAATATTTGAGAGTTCTTCAAAAAAGACTTTTTACAGAATGATGATTGAATCACAAAAGATAATGACGAAAAAAGTGTGCTAACAACAAAGAGACCTTGAGAGCATTTAGAGACTTTGATAAGATTGAATCAAGAACATCAGGATGCAACTCCAAATATTCAGTAAGATACTCCTGGACAGATTGCTCTACCACTTTCCGCACCTCTGGATTTCCCAACCTTGTCTTGCAGACATACAGAAAAGCCAGTAGTTGATGGTATGAACAGCTTGAGAGTGGCAACACCAACAATAAGCTGGAGAA